TTTTTTAAATTTGTTGTCGGCGACACCTTAAAGGCCTGTCTGTGAAAACATTGTCGGACATAAACTGGTCCTTGGTGCAAAAAAGGTTGGGGACTGCTCTTATAGATGGAGAAGCGTGATTCGTCACTCCACTGCTCTAGAGTCCAGCGCCGGCATGCTCTAGACTACTGGATCCAACCCTTTGTTATAATACCGCTAATGAGTAGCGAGGAAATTTCATGACTGGAGTTGTTGAACAAGTGGCATCCTATCACAGTACAACACTGGAATTCGCTCCTGATGGCGACCAATCGACCAATCCAGAAAACATATGCCCGCCTATGTGCTTGATTTTACACACCTGTGGCCATGAAAGTGACTGGAACTCCTAAATTCAGTGATTTGGATGGATGGGTAAATATTTTTGGCAATAATGTGTATCTGCAAGTACACTCACACTCACACTGTCTAAATTATTTACTGTAGCTCAAGTTTCATAGTGCTAAAACTCTTTAGCCTACCTGACAGAAATACTAACAACCAAAAACTGAACCTTACCAGTACCAAAACACTTGTTATTTTTCAAATGCAGTACATTTTCTGGGTCAAACAGAATCAGCATTTTCTGTATTCATTGTTAAATGGGAACACTAGCACGTGCACGTGTTCATCATAGCACTGTATTGTTTCACTGGTTTATTTTTACAGTTCATTTATTTGTGGTAGATGAATTAATGATAGAGACCCCTCCCCCACCCACCCACCAACATGCGGCAAACATGTTAAGATCATTTAAAACAACAACTGCCTGCACCTGACGACACACAAAGCTGATCAGTCTGACTTGGTGTCATCACAACTCGCTGCTCCTCCTCCTCCTCGTCTTCTGCTCCCTCTCCTCTTGTTTCATTGTGTAAACATGACAGAACCCCCACTCATTATCTGAAGCTGGAGACAGATGGAATTGGTGAGCGTTACAAGTGCAGCACAACAAGACGAGTGGGCAAGCTCGAGTCATCGATGGAACAAATAGGGTTTTGTGAGAGGCTGTTAGGCTGACACACTCGGGGGGCCATCCCTGCTGATTTAGTTTGACATTATTCACCCTTTTTTAACATCATATCTGAGCAGATCCCCACATGTTTAAATTTAATGACGAAGAATCGCATTCACCACAGCTCTGCCTTGCATACAGCAAGCGTTTTGCTTACAGGTTGTTTGTCTCTCCTCGAAGCAAAATGTGCCTTCGAGTCATTAGCACACTACCCAAAAATGGATTTTAACATAAACTGATGCTTTCTTTTGGCTGTGTCTCAAATGCTGTTACGATTTGTGCCATCTCATTACCAAGCCAAGCTAAATAAGATGATGACAAATAGAATGTGTTCTGCATCTCCTTGAAAGTTTGCCAATATAATAATTCTCACTTGTGTTTTATTGGCAAGAGGGTAGAGAATTAGATTAACCTTTGATATTGAACCAAAGTGATAAAATCTAAATGGGGCTTTCTTGGCAAATAGATTTCAGTTTATTGATTTCTCATCATTTCCTGTCTCTCTGTCATTGAGGAAAAACATTCCTGTCAAACATCCAGTATTTTTTCGGGATTGGTCTTTCTATGTCTTTGTATTTTGATGAATGGTAATTATAAGAGTGTTTCTATCAATCTAAAGATGAGAGCATTTTCTCATCAAAGGTCACACGCTAAAATTGTCGCTGCTAATAGGAAAGCACTCAAAGCAGCCATTTATCTGTTCTCTACGTCCCTTTATAAGATTGTTCCTTTCATTTCATTTATTAACTGCAGTGACTGCTGCAGCTCATGATCCGATTGCTAGTTTTAGTTTTATTGTCTTGGAAAGCTTTGTTTTGTTTATAACTACGCACACCAACAGCTCCAAGTTGTGTTGTCACACAATTAACAGGGACTTAATTAGTCGATCAAATCTGCTGCAACATCGTCCCAAGCCTTACGAAGCACCTCTTACATGTAGCGTGGCTGTCAAATGAAAACTTCAGAGGAAATTATTATTATGCCATTTGTTACGCAAAGCACACACCAAGAAATCAGACACTGGTCTGATGCCGTCTTCATTCTTAGACTTTGTGAACATTATATGCAGTAGAAATCTGACTTAATGCGTAACAGGATTAATAATTAAGGGCTACATAAAATGTTTTTTTTAGTACATCCATTAGTTGTTGCTTTGTTTGACTTTGGACCAAAGAAACAGACCAGAGTTTTTTTGGCTAATGATGATATATCACAAGTATTATTAAAAAAAAAAAAAGACTTTTCCAATTACTTTTGGAATTTATCATTACATTTCAGTTGAAAGACATTACAAGCCGCTCAATCAAGTGTACCTAAATACACTGTATTCAAGAAAACTGCTGCTCCCTAGATTTTATTTTTTCCAGACCATTCTCTGTAAAACCCTAGTGATGGTTGTTTTTTGTGTGTTGTGAAATATTCTGTTCAGCTTGTCAATAACCATGCCACATCCAAAGCCCTGGGATGCTAAACGCCTTATTCATTTTCTAGTGATCACTTTTAGTTGTTTACCATTAGCTAATGGTTTTAAATGCTACCTTTACTTTTACCCAATAATTTCTAGCTTCTAATTCTACATGGCTATTTCAACTGTTTACCTAAACAATTCTATTTGTTTATCCATACTTTTGATTAATGTCAAATGCTTCTGCATAGTTTTGGAAAACACATTAGCTTAACTCTTAACTCTGTTAGTTAAGCTAGTTTAACCTTTCTTTACTTTTTAACTTATACACTACTTTAAATAAGTTATTATGCTTGCTCTCTATATTCTGCAGCTTATTCATGACCTTTACTTAGTTACATCTTCTATGCTAATAATATATAACAATCATTATATATTATTAGCATCATTGTAGGGTGTTTACCTTACACTATAAAGCACCTCGAGGTGACTATTGTGACTTGTAGCTATGTGACTAAAATTGGATTGCTCAAAAATTCTCACAGTAACGTCTCCCTAATCTTAGATTAAATAAATAATTTATTTTAAGTTATTTAAGTTAGTACTGCAGCATTTACAGAGATTGACTTTGTACCCCTTTTTACATGACTATAGGCTAGGATTGTGTAAAAAAACAAAAATAATTTGACCGAGTTTCTACTGGTATTTTGTATAAAAACCTTCTTAACCCATGATTACACTACTTGCTCATGTTGCAGGGTCAACCTTTATGATGGTGAACACATCAGGACGCTTCGCAGGACAGAAGGCCCTGCTGCTGACACCCCAGCTGAAGGAGAACGACACACACTGTGTCATCTTCCACTACTATATAGGAGGCAGAGACAACAGCCATCCCGGCCACTTAAATGTCTATATTAAAGAAAACAATAGTCCGATGGGGATGCCTGTTTGGAACGTGTCAGGTCCAGCCTCTCGCTCCTGGGGACAGGTGGAGTTGGCTATCAGCACCTACTGGCCCAACTTCTACCAGGTGAGGACATGCGGTTGAAAGCAAGTCATCTTTTGTATAATGTCTCGTTGCAAAACTAGGTTTCTCATTGTAAGGAGCCTTTGTAGTTAAGCCAAAGTAATTAATGCCCTTTTTCTGGGTGGAGCAGGACAAACCATTATTTGAGATGGTCTAAACAATTGCACAAAAGCTCATTCAAAACACCTAAGATTATTGATTTCAGCGGCTAGCTCGGTATCCATGGTAATCTGTTCTCTCTCTGTTCCATCTGAGCCTGCTCTCTTTTTCCAATTCTGAAAACTCATTTTCACTTACCAATGCACATGACTGCTGGCCGGGGCAAGGTGATTTCACACTTGCCTGGCTATTAGTCTTCACCAGGCTTGTTCCACGAGTCCACCACATGTTAATTGATGCAGAGAGACCCCTTAACCTCCCAATGGGAGATGGTCTCTTGGTGAATTATTTTATTATGGCCTGGCAGAGCTAGTCCACAGTGGAGCAGAGGGAGTCCTCCTGCTTGCTCATTGTAGCCACACTGATAACTTAGTTAACAAGGGACACCGCTGGGCTTCTCACTGCTGCATGCAGTATAGAAGGTTTAATGAGAGGCACACGGAGAAACGAAAGAAGAGGGGAAAGGCAACAGTTGAGCAGAACAGAATGTGCTGCTATTACCAGTAATAGTCACTGTTCACTGTTGGCAAGATTTTGACTTTTGTGACATAATAAAGCAAAGCCTGCCTGGTTAAATGTTTTCAGTTTGGCTCAAGACATGTAAAGACTAAAAGAGTCTGCCTCAGAAGCACAGCTTGTTGTGTTTGCATTTACTCTGCTTGCAGACCTTTTTAAGTACCAAGTTAGAGCTTCAGAAAGTTCAGACACTTTGACATTAACTGCTGCTTCTTTCTGACAAACGAATTGCAATTTCAGTGACAGCTGAACCCTTTGACGTGCGTGGTTACGTTTCAGTAAATTTCTGCATCTAAGGTGAGTGGTTAGACCCGAGATTACTCATTTTGTTTACCAGTGTGTCGAGGGAAATTTCCAGCATCTGTTGCCTTTAAACCCAGCTTTGTTTGTAATTGTTCCAAGACTGACAACATGGTCAAATGTGAGGATGCTAATGATCTCAGCAACAGTCAAGAAAGGAGACCAGTGCTTGAAGTTGTCACTAATTAACAACATGGTGCTAATTATAGGTATCTTTAATTGCATGGTAACCTACGCAATTGTCAAAGGGAAGCCACCTGATACTTGGAAATTATTTTTTAATTACCAGTAAGGCTTGAGCATTTCAGCTTTTGATAATTACTCCTGTCAGGCTATCCCTAAATCTTTAATTGACATTGTCATTTATTTCCAGAACTGCTGATCATTGTGCAAAACAATATAATTTTCACTAATCTGGAAGCTATGTCTGTCATGTGTGTGCTATTTAAATACTTTGTGCATAAGATAAAAATCTATGGTTTATCCTTAAAAAAAAATAAGAGTGAAAAACAGAAATGTGGTTATCTATCTTGATTTTTAATACAGCAGAGTCCACGGCAGAGCTAATCAATTCTGCTGTAATGCTGTACTTAGCCAAGCCCCTTAGGGATAACCCATGTGGCGATGTAGGCATTGAACGCTGGGTTCACTGTCTGTACGTCTGACAAATGAGAATGGTGAACTTTCCTGTGATATCAACAGCTTCGTCCCATGCGAACATTTTCACTCTGTGGGTCAGGCCCAATTATGCACTGCACTATTATTGATGTTGGAATCAATTATATCACAGCTATTAGGCAGCCTGACTGATGTCTGTTGCACAAACAAAGGATTTCAATTAGAGTGTGGGGGCCAGTTCATTTGTCTGGTGGCGATATATAGAGTGGTTGGCCTTTTAATTTCCTTTAAATTAGTCTGTAATGAGGCCATAATTGGCACCCAAGACACTCACTTTCATATTTCATGAGACAAAAAAAGAAATTTATAATTAGACAGCCTTATCTGAAGGCATCCTGCCTCCCAGATGACAATGGTAACTATCTCCGCCTTCACATTCCTAGGCTACAAAGAGAATCTCAGAGATAAATGTGTGTGGCAGTAGCAGGACATACGTTTCTGGGTGACGCCACACATTGAACACGACCAGTAATGTATGAGTTTCACCGGAAGATTCAAGCTTGTATTTAGGGAATCGTGGCACGCCAAACATGTGTAGCTGTAGCACATGTGGTGTAATGGGTCTCTGCACCACACCCTGAGTTTGGGAAGGGACTGGCATTCTGTTTCCCTTTTTATCACGCTGCAGACCATCGAGTGCATAACTCTGACATTCTGCAAGGACGCACCCTCCGACAGGGCTTTGGACCATTTGTTTTGCAGGAGCTCTTGACCCTTAAAATAGGGTTACTCTAGTCCCACACAGCACAGTTGCACTTGTTTTTCAAGTTTGTCTTGTCAGAGATGGAAACTTGTCAACTAAATAACACTCACCACACAGCAAATGTTACAGGCAACTGTCCCTCCTCGTGTAAGAGATGACACTTTAATTTTGTACTGAAGTGATGATTTGCTCACATTTCTTTTCTTTTTTTTTTTCTTTATGTAATCCAATTCTTGTGGCAACTTCTGTAAATTTAACATCCAAGGAAACTTAAGACTACCAGCTGCCTACTTCAAATCTTAGCTTGGAGTCACTGCCTTGCACAAACTGTCAAATACAAATGGGTTAGAGTAGTTTCTACTAAGAATTTACATGCAGCAACTTCCTGGTAAGGGAAATGCTATAGTGTGTCACCAAGCTATTGTGTTAGCTGTGCAGGTTAAAGAGTAAAACACATTGTGGAATATCTTACTAATAATGATGAAAACATCTAATATTTGTATCCTACTTAGTGTTAATATTAATTTGATTTTAGCTAACTCCATTATAAATTTAGCATACAATTACACTAATGACTTTACAGTGTAATCAGTTAAATCAAGATGGGTTTTAACTGTTTTCTCTGTTAAAGACAACCTTTTTCCACTAGAAGAGGGAAACTTTTAGGGTGGCGCCCACCTTTGCAGAGTCCCTTTTCGTGATCTAAACCTGAAGATCGGTAATGTGGAAATTGTCACGGTGACAGCACTACCTTGGCGGCTAATATCAAATGATCAGATACATGTAAGCGAGGGGTGAACTTTAGCTAAATTGAGTTTTAAGCATCGCTCTGATGCTCGGACTCTCAGCCCTCACACTCTGTTTCGTCAAGGCTCAAACTTAATTTAACACTTGCATGTCATAACACCTATCAGCTGTGAGATACTGAGGAAATAATGTCGGTGGCCTGCAGCTGTGTCACCAGCTGCAGGCCGGTTATGGAGCAGGGGGCATTAGCAAGAGCTGGACTTCTTTATGCGCACAGACAGCCTTACTCAGGTGTCATTTGAAGATGTGGTCATTTGTCATTGGTGTTATAACTCTCCTTTCTCTTCCTCAGATTGTGTTTGAAGCTGTAACCTCAGGGCAGCGAGGCTTGCTGGCCATCAAAGACGTAGTGGTCCAGGGCCACCAGTGCAGTAAGTCCTTTTATTCCGTCACCATAAAAGAATATCATCAAACAGTGATTGTCCTTTCCATGACACCCTCCCAAATACCTGTGTCGCTGTTCTATTCAGGGCCTGCCAGTCAAACAAAAGGCCTTCAAAGAATATTCTACAGTCAATCCAAGTGCGAGTCTCCCTCCTCCTAGCTCCCTTAAGATTTATGAGCACACAGTTGACAAGCAGAAGTGTGCTCAGGATATAATCTTGGAGTAGCGCTGTTAAATCTATCCTTTGAGAGATGGTAGAAATAGTCAAAAAAGGGGGATGAGAAACAAATCCTATCATACATTATGCTGCTTCTTGTTTGGATTCCACAATTTTTTTTTTCCCCTCCCTTAAGGATATTCAGTAAAGTATCTCGTCAACATCTGTTCAGAATTCTGCTATCCCTCGCTGAATATAAGCAGAAGCACTTCAGAGTGCACTACAGATGTAATGAACGAGTAATCACTCGCATATTTAGAATCTTTCGGCTTCTGCTTTTTGGATAGGCTGCTGCTGTGGGAGCAGAAGCAAGAAGCCTCCTCAGTATTCTTCAGGTCTATTCTTCTCTGTGCTGAGAGTCGCATTAGTCCATATGGCGCTCCACATTCTAAAATCTAAATCAATACCACAAGGGTTTTCATCAATTGATTTATGCTTTACTCTACTCTTCATAGCTGAAGTATCAAGCTCTGATTGTCAGGCACTAATGACATGCTAACCATTTGAAAGCAGCTGAATTCCTACAAATGTCATGTCAATAAAATGGATTTATATAGAAATAGGTGTTGCATATAAATGTATTTGAGTAAATCAATGAGGTCTCATGACGAGGCCTGTGTTTAAATGCGAGTCGATCAATGATCCACTCAGTGGCACTTGGGTATTCTTGAATGATAAGCAAAATGATCAGAGCAACTCATCAGTGGAGCACAGCCAATTCATTTTCTATTTATACGACCATGTGGAATATCTAAGGTGTGATTATGCCACTGGGCGGTCTGCCTCTCCTTCCGTCATTAAAGACATTTGCAATGACAATATATTATATATATATAGATATATATGGTGCTGGATGGATTGACATGACAAAGTTATAAAGGAGGTATAGTTCAAAGACAAGGTTGTAAAATATTAAATAGAAGTGAAAGTCTTGATGATGAAAGTGATAGAATTAGCTTTTGCCAAGTCTTTAGAGATTTGGTTATGTTTCGAATCAAGGTCGCTCCACTGAAATGCCCCATTTTTCTATGCAGAATAGCGATACTAATCAAAAATGTTCTACATAAGTTACTTTCTGTGGACTATCCCAGTCAGTGAGCGTACTGATAATGAGCACAGTTGGAGACGAGAGAATAATGCTTTTTGATAAAAAAGAAAAACCCGCCTCAATCACTGGAAGAATGCAGTAAAAGAGAGTAGAAATTAGACTTTTGGTAGGTGAGAGATTGAACTCATTTTTTTGAGATTGTGTCTCATTTTTGGTGAATCTTTCTCACAAAATGATGGTAGCCTTGGGCTTTAAGGGTGTTGCGTACTGTGTGCGGTGGTGGTGGTGGGGGTTATCTTTTCAAGGATGCTTTTCTCAGTGTAAAATCTGATAGTAGCATAGTTAAGATGTGGCTATAGAGTGGCTACTCTCGACTCCAGTTGTCAGAATCAGATCAGAGTTGTCAAACTCAGATCTTTTCATATCACCACAAAATATATTTTGCATATTGCATATTGTACAAACGTTTGCCTTTTTTTCCCACAGTGAATACTCCTCATTTCCTGACTATAAAGGGTGTGGAGGTCAATGCCGGACAGACTGCGTCCTTTCACTGCACTGTCAACGGACGCAAGCGGGACAACTTCCGCCTCTGGCTTCAGGTACGTAAGAGATGTTGTTATCTTGTTTTTTTTACACTTCTGAAATGCATATTTGTTACTTAGCGGGCTCTTCTGGTTTAAGCTTCTTTTTTTTTTTCTTTAATAGATGACAGTTTTCAAACAATCAAGCTAAATACTGAAATAAAAAGTTTGTGACCCAGCTAGAGTAACTTCCAGCTCAACGTCTTAGCAGGTGAAATCAGGACAGTAACCAGTGACAATTAGCCTTTTCAACATCATGTTAAAGCAAATATCCACTGACGTCTATTTTTATTTGTATTTTTTTTTTTTTTTTTTAAGATTGGAAAAATCACTGAGCTCATTTACAGTCAAAACTATTTAAAAAGTATAAATGGATACAAATCATAAGGAAAAAAAGCATAGGGATCATACAGAGCACTGTGAGTGTATGTATGTTTGTAAAAGAAGATACGGTAGGATTTACCACTGTTGCACATTATTCATTCTGGGTGGCACAGTAGTACAACGATTATAGAAAGAAGTTTCTGGACTTGCACCTTGGAATAAGATGTAGGGAATACGGATGGAGGAAAGGATCGATGTTTAACCGTAAACCTGATAAAACAGAATCAAATGTAAACCCTCGTCGTAAATTCAAATGTAACATGCAGTAGTGCAACAGTGGTTTAAAGTCTGGTTGTTTTTGATCTTTTATCACTGAACCGTCATTACTTTCAAAGCCCATACAAAGATACTGATACTTGGTTGCCACCCGTTCTTTCAGGAAACTCTTGCAGCCATTAAAAATCATTCTGTGCTCCATTTGACAATTTCAAGCTGAGACATTCACACATTGCTCTGTTTTGCCCTTGTTTGAGATTTCACCTGCTCACCAGATTCCCAGAGACCTTTGCATCTGGGAGGTTGGGGGATTAGGGTTGTTTCAGATCACTGCAGTATTGTCTTAACCTATATACACGTGGGCTCTGTGGATACTGTGTACTATATCTGGCACAACTGTTCTGCACAGCAGTCTCGAATTGACCTTGTTCTGAACAGCGAAGGTAGTGCATCTGGCAGACATAACCCTGCTGGCTCTGCTGCTAAGCACACTGTCACACATGTGATCAGTGGGAGCATGACGCTGGGTAAAGGTCCTCTGCCAGGTACTCCATCATTTTAACAAACACGTCCTCATTAGCACAGGAGCTGGAAAACAAACATTAAGTGAAGTCCCCCGATGACAGTAATGAAGAAATATTTCTAATGAACAAATGTCCCCCATCTGCCTGCTGTGAGGGGTGACAGCTGGGGAGAGCCCACTGTGTTTGTGTGTGCGCGTGCATTCCAGTGTGATAAATGTATCCCCACTATCAACCACCAATGGGAACGATAGGACACAAACAAACACGCACAAGAACAGGGGACAAGTACACTCAAACAGAGTTTTTTTTTTTAAAAAAACACAAGGTCAGGCCACTTTGCTTATTAAACCTTTCCATTTTGGAGGTTCACTTGTGCGTTTGTCTCTGTTCCAAACAGGGCATGGGTGGACGGGAGGCCCCAATGAAAGCCACTAAACCTTGGAACAACCGCCGCTTCATAGGCACTTTCGATGTGGAGAACACAACCAAGGGCGACTCGGGCCGCTACCGCTGCATTGTCCACTCAGACAAAGGGGTTGGAGTGTCCAATTATGGTGAACTAACCATAAAACGTGAGTATTTGTCCCAAAGCAGAGTAAAAATGCAAAACCGACCTATTTCAGTGAAAACAAGGCAGAAAGCGGGAATGTTTTCCATCCGCATGACCTTCATGCATTCAGCAAAGTTAACGGGAGATAAACAGGAACTGCTGCGTGTTTGTAGATGAAAATGTCCTCTAAGGCAGTACTAAAAATACTAGCTTTTTATGTTGATTTGTTATCCAGAGGACTTTAATACTTCCTCTGCAAAGGTTGTCCTTGACTGAGCACAATTCCCCCTAAAAGATCACAAAGGCAAGAGGCACCAAGGTTTACAGTAACCTCACTGATATTTCACTCCTGCAGTCATTTGATATGAATTTATGGAGTCGTCCGAAACTAAATCCAGCAAGGCCTCTCTTTCCTACAGCCCTATAGCCCAGTAATGGCCTTCTATATTTCTTCACCTCAATTTTCTTGCTGTGCTCTCAATTGAATTTATGGTCCTGATTTTTTTCTCCTTCCCCTTTTCTTTTTTTTTTTTTTGTCTTCAAGCTTTATGTGATTGATAGGTTTAATCCTGGCTGTCCAGATCGAGGTCTGTCAATCATGCGAGAATGGCTGGGCCCAGACACAGCAGAGCGTAGAGGGAGATAAAGTCTCTCTGCCTGAGTGTATCAGTGGGTTTCAGTGGTGTACTCAAAGAAAATTTACTGACACATTGGAGGCACTCAAAACCACACTTGTGCATAAATTCAGCAACACAATCACTTGCACATCCTCACACTTGCACAAACCTACACGAGAGCAATATTTTTACTAATAACTGCTTCCAGTGTGTTACCGTGTAGATATTTTCTTCTTACTCAAGACAAACCTCTTAAATTTAAAGTGCTTTCGTCATAAATATTTAAAATATCGTAATTTTCTATATTTAGGGGTGAATCAAGTCTTGTAAGTCATTCCACTTTAAATTCAACAGAGATGTCACACTTCAGCGACTTTAGCATAAGCCAGCTCGTTAAAAGAGGAAAAGAGGCGTTTTCACACTTATGAGTGTCCCACATAAAATGCTGATATCTCGCCTTATCGTACCAGTCATAAAACAAGTGCTTAACCCTCCTAGCAATGAGTCTGAGTTGTAAATCCTCTTTAAATGTGTATTCACCGCGCCCGTGACTCGTTTTTGGAGGAGTGACCATGGAGCGATTCTGTGGATTATGAGCCTGGTACAGTCGCACGCCGGCTCCCCCCCCCCACCCCTCATTACCATACACTGCCTTTTCCTTCAACATGAGGAGAGTGAATGCTTGATTATCCCTGATAATCACTTCTGCCTTTCGTGCCAGTGTTCCATCAGATTTATGTGCCTATGTGGAAGTGCACTGCATGTATTTGCGGATTGGCCCAGAGCTGCACCCTTCCGGTGTCCCCCCTTGTGATGAGCTCTCCTGTAGTGCAGCCGGTGGTTTTGAAAGAAGGATAATTACTTCTTGTCCAAGTGCTGGCTCTTTTCTTGCTCTGGTTAGAATCACCTGGAGCCTGCAAAGCATTTGCTGAGCTCTAACACAGTATACTTGGCAATGTTACTAACTGCACAATGCGGAGGTGCAACTGTGTCGGCACTAATGAGAATAGCCACCGAAAATCGAAGGCCAGCCAGTCAAGCTCCTCATTTTCCTCTGGCCACCTCTTCTCATATTAGGAGCAGATCAATTCTTTACTCACAGCAGCCCACTTAGGAAAGCGCACATCATAATGAGGACCTCTTGCATCTTAACAAGAGAGGATCAGGGGATGTAACAGACAACTGAAAGAAGGATTTATAAACGATGAGGTCTAACCTAAGAACAGAGAAGAGTGGCAGCCCTTATTATCGTGCTCTGTGTGGTGGATGGCAAATGGGTAGGAACGTGAGTGTGTGAGTGTGTGTGCATGTCTTTAGTTGGTGTGTATGCTGTGAATTATTAGAAATAACATGTAAAAAAACTTTTGAACAATCGAGTGATGTAAGTCAAAAATTAAAAAGATTGCCTTGTCAAATACATACATTGCATAAAAAAAATGGATGTTGGTACTGTGAATCTCTCACTGGTTTGCATGTCCTGCTTTAGCATCCTTTTTCTAGTCTAATGAGGATCATCTTTACAACATAAACATCATGTTGCATCGAATAAGACTCAAATCTAGCAGCTGAGGCTATGAACTCATGAGAAAAGGGTTTACTGAGGTAACGGATGAGTGAGCCAAAGGGCTGTTTGCCTATAGACTTCTATACGACCAGGGTCGTCACCCCTATTGGAGGATGGGTTTAAAGTGCTGCTGTTCTGCTTTTAGTTTTACCGAACAAACATTTGTCAGTGAAACTTTACAAATGAAGATTAATCACTGAATCAAAATTGGAATATAATTGACACTTTCAACAGTTTCAAGTCCTTGTATAGTGGTTCCTTTTGGTGGTTTTTTTGCATAATGTGCAGTTGTGTGATTGTGTTCTGGCAGGAAGGCAGGCAGGTGCTGTGGTAGAAGAGGGCGCAGCTGTTGCCAGGCCGTTTGCCTGTCTGGTCAACATCGCGACAACAGCTGCTCGCTGACCCCGCGTATGGTCGCCACTGTCATCTGTGGACTGTCACACATTTCCAGCTAGCACCGGGCTCAGCTCGAAGACCTTTCCAGGGCCCCGCTGCTTCAAAGCTGCCCTGCTAAGGCTTAAACATTGGGAAATGAGTTGTTAATATCCTGAAGTGTTCCAGCACTTGAGTGCATTTCACACCAGTAATCTGTTATTTTCAGTGCATCTGCTATGGCTGTTGAACAGGGGATTACTGCACCTACAGGAATTATTTCATCACCATAAGCTGCTGTTGTCTTTGTGAAGCAGTAACTTTTCAAACTTAAATGAAATGCTTATTGCTGTAATACATCATGCTGTTTAGTCTTTTGCAGAAATGGTCTCAAGTGACATCTGCAACAATAGAACTGAACCATGCAGCGCAGTGCATATGAAAGCGTGCTCTCTGCAAAGAACAAAAAATTGCTTGGATGACTAAATAGGTCTTGCTGGATGGAGTAACAGAGCTTAAGTCATTTTTATTAACCAATTGGTTACATTTTGTGCTGTGTGGCTTCTGTGAATCATCATGACTAGGTCAGCAGCTAGGAAGTTTGCCATATTTTGTGGCCCTTATTAAGGCGTTATTGAAGAATGAGTGTGTTGATAAATGTGTCAAAATCTGATAATGGTTACATGATGTGCTTTTGTGGATGCAGGATATAGTATTAAGTTTCTAAGTTGTGATTTCGGGAAATTTCTTTTAAATTTGTTGTTTTATCAAAAAGTGCTGTTCTCTGAAACCAATAATGTCACATTTGATCTTTTCAAATATATAAAAAACCATATTTTTCTCCATTTCATCATACTGATAGTACAGAATGAGCATGTGCTGTTTTCTGTTGCTTAAATTAATCTGAACATATTGCCACTTAACTCAGTTAAATCCCTTTTAAGGGCAAAACAACAGACCATAAAAGACCATCAAAACAAGCCAATGGTTTAACTCAGATTTTGGGTCACCTTATTTCCCTGTCTGGCTCCAACGTGCCGACTGTTGCACAATGTGTAAGTGTTGAAGAAGACCTGGTGGATTATCTGGTTCGCTTTAGGTGATGTTTGACAGCAACACTAGAAGCTTGGATTAGTGGGAGTTTAGTGGGACCTGCAGCTGAGGTCACTGTGGGGTAACCATCTGCTGAGGAACAGCCTCCAGTTCTGTGTTGGACACCTCAGCCGGCTCCTCATTTGCCTGTGGACTTGTGCCTCTCCATGACAACTCCATGAGAAGCAGCCGGGTGACTAATGGTATTATTCTGTTACGTGTACCCTCATTAGAGCTGCTCACTGGGGTCGCTAGGACATGCAACTATTGTAGTATGTGACAGGGTAGATTCCTGAGCAATTCCGCAGCCGCTGGTCATGGCTCTTCTTTGACAGTTTTAGATTTTTGGTTGTACCCAGAGACCTTTTTCTCAGGGTGTTGTCTGTGTATTGCTGTTTGAATCTTCAAATGGTAATTTGAACAAAATTTTACATTAATTCAATAAAAGGAACGAATCCAATATGCATTTTATTGAAATGGAAATTTTTGCAGCCTCTGTAAATCACTGTGACCTTTTTAAATGAGATTTATTTATTTATTTATTTTGGTCAAAAACTGGCTTAAAGGTGTAAACACAGAAGTATAAAACTACTTCAGAAGTTTCCATTGGCAACCGCTCAAATGTTAGTGCAGCAACTCCTTACCTGGTTATATGATGAAGCAGTCCTGAAAATACCCGCTGTCGGAAAAAACCTGACATTTCGAGAAGCACCATTAAACAAGAAATGGCACGAGGTTTAAGTTGGATTAGGAAAATACAGATGACATAACAAAGAAAAGGTCGTCTTCAAGGTTGTCATTGAACGCTACATTTGTCTGAAAGAGAAACTTTATTTTTAATATTATTTTTTTCCTGTCAATTCAAACATTGAAGGTTAAAGTGCTTCTTCTCCTTCCCTTCAATTTCTCATTATTTTGTTGTTGTTTTTTCTTTTGCAGGGGAGGGGAGGGGTGGACTTGTGCAAATATCTTTCCGCTTAATACAACATTACACCAATATCTGATTTTACATTTTAGTTTACTTAAATAATGACAGCTACCATTACTTATAAGCTGTTTTTGTGGTGGTAATGAATTAATGCATTGTTTTAGGTTAACCTCACAGTGTTTATCTAAAACACCTGTACTGTAACTCTGGTTTATGTGCTTGGCTGCATTTATTCATGTTCGACCGTGGCACTGTAATAGGAAGCGACAATAGGAAACAAGTAGTTTGTAAAAACATTCTTCACTCCTACATTTTACATGATAAAATGTAAGTGGTGTTATTGCAAAGTGTTTAAGAACCACAACAACTCAGCAATGAAGTGTCAGACTGCTTAAAGTTGCAAAACAGGGTCACATAGTGCATAAAAGTCACAAACACACTGCTGTCTCAATAACTGCAGAGTTTGAGATGTTTCTCAGCAAAAATAAATTCCAGCAAAAGAAATTGTGCACCAGGATCTTAATGGTATTGGTTTATGGAAAGCAAGCAGCTTGTGCTGGTGACTCATTGCTTCTGTCCGTATAGTGTATGTGGTTATTCTGAATGATCTAGAAATACTTGGCATTATCAATTAATTTGTCATAGTAGCTTATTATAATATAGTATGAATCGATTACACGGTTAATACTGAGCGTGTTTGTTTTTTAGGCCTAACAGCACAACTCTTTACCTTTAAATAAATTGTAAAAATCCGACAGCAGTCTTTAATAAAACGCTCCCAGAATCGCCTACCATAGCTGTCATAACCAAAGGCTTTTCCATAGAAGTCCTCTGATTGAAATCAATACATTGTTTAATGGGAGCACCATTTACCAAGGTCTGGGTAACTTTATTTACTCCTCTGTGAGGGGCTGCTGTCACTTTTAAAATGTATGTGATTACATGGCACAGTGTACTACTGATGAGAGATTCTATTCATCAAGCTGGAACTATTGATTGTTACAGGGCTCTTGTTGAGTACGTTGATTATTTGAAAACATGAAGATATTCTTCATGTGCTTCTAGAGAATTTTGATGTGGTTGATTTGGTTTAACAGAAGGTATTGATTTTGGGCCTCTTGTTCACTTGCAAGTGTTCATCTGCAGACTTTTTTTTTTGTGCTTTTTTACACAAACCAAAAGTACATAATTGCCTTTTTTTTTATGTGAAAACTTTCCACAATTACAGTTTGATTACTTATCGTCACAAAAAACAAAGACAAAACAACTTTTTGTTTTCCTAGAGCCCCCAGTGCCTATTGCACCACCCCAGCTGACTGCTGTTGGTGCCACCTATCTTTGGATCCAGCTCAACGCCAATTCCATCAACGGGGACGGTCCAATAATTGACAGGGAGGTGGAATACCGCACTGTGTCTGGGACCATGTATGACCTGCAGCCTGTAGACAAGACCACACACAAGATTGGCCACCTGGATCCAGACACAGAGTATGAGATCAGTGTTTTGCTGACCAGACCTCTGGAGGGAGGCACTGGAGCTCCTGGGCCCCCTCTTAAGGCCAGGACCAAATGTGCTGGTAAGGCCAAAAATTTTAATTACTTGCACAACACCACTAGAATTTTTTTTTATTTTTTTTTATTTATTTATTTATTTTTAAACTTGCATGTTGTTTTGCTGCGTCAAATGAATAGGCTCATGTCTTGAGTAATACAAATACATAGTTGAATAAATGCTGACCACTATTGTTTGGATGCAGTTTGCCTCCAGGCGACATGTACCATTACCTTGTGATCAAAGTTGCTCGCCCGAGGTTGTTGCATGCTCAGTCTTTGCATAAGGTTGCCACAACTTCTTTCAGCCAGTCACTAAATTACAGTTTGACCAATTATTTTCCTAGTCAATGTCCTATTTTTCCTAATTGTCCTTCTAATTTTACTCTAGTGTGACTGAGCAAGTAAGCACTAAATTCATATACCCAGTCTTTTTCTTTGTGTTCATGGGGTAACTGTAAATTTGCTCCAGTATTTGGATACCAAAGACTTCTTCCTATGCATATCAGTATCTGTCTAATTGTAGTTGCATGCACTATATTTCCATTCCAGGAACTCTTGTAAATCCTTGGTCACTTTATCCATCACACTAGTGATGTACTGATTTAATGGTCAAACATTGGTAAAAGCCAATATTGTTGGAAAATAAGATAAAGCAACAAGTAAGGTCACATTTACCTGCCAATGTTTCTCTTGTTGAGTCAGTTCTCATTTACATGATATAGACTGATTTCATATGTTTTAATCTGTCATTTATATTTCCACTATTTTTGTTGCACGAAAGACAACAGAGCTAAAACAAAACAAAAACCCGAACGCAGTATGAGCACTGGCTGTTGTTCAGATTGTTATTCTGGCTCAGGAGCAATTTCTCTCATCTTAAATTGTTCCGCCCTCGACAAATGGAAGCGGTTAGATGATTTTCCTCCCAAGTAAATAAATTACTTAAAAAAATTACTTTGTTTTTAATTTTTTTGCCAGATGTTGAACATTTGCCTTTTTTTCTGCATCTTGGAAAGAAGCAGCAAAGAGAACACCAGAGTCTAAATGTCAGAGGTTTAAATATAAACACCCATCTCTAGCTAGTTCTAATGACAGACTGTCACATAGATAATCATATTAAGGTGAATTTTCTTTGTGGGGACTCGACAGCCTGTTAATTTTTCAGTTTGTGAATAAGCTACAACCCTTTGCTAATAATTGTTATGGATCCAAAAATAATGGTAACATCTGTGGCAGCTCAGATTGCTGAAAACTAAGGGTGGACTACCTTGTCAAATACCAATGATGATACATTTTATCCAGGATGTTGATCCGCTATACCACCATGCTGTTCTGCTTCTGTTTACAAAATAAGCTAGACGACCCAAGATGTATTTTGTTACGCATCTTGTTTTTCTATGCATCTAATTGTGTATTCAGGCGGCGCCGTTATCATTTGATATCACAATCTGTTCTCTTCCTTTAAGACTGTCCACATTGTAAGATGTCAGACAACACCCACTAACAGTTTGAATTTAAACTTTCACTTTCGTTGGAAGAGCATTGCAACATTCCAACCCAATGGGCTTTATTAAGTTTTTATTCTCTGTTGAATTATATGGATCAACATAGTGGAAGGTCGGTGGCCAAAGCAGATCAAGCAGCTCCTTCAGTTACTGCCTCAACTTTGTTGTGTTTGCACAGTCCTGAACGTACATTTACAAACAAACCGTTCAAAAGAGCCCCCCCCCCCCTTTAACGGATCATCCCCTGCATACAACAAATAGCCATCAGGGTTCCATTGTTTGCGAAGCTGCATTGTGTTTTCTCTAAAGCCTCATTGCTTTTGAAGTAAATAACTGAATCTGGTAATTGCTCGACATATATCATTGCTGCTTTACTTGGTAATTATTTTTCTGTTTAGAGGAAGTCCCTGTGTGTTGTCATTGTTCCCAGCCATAGATTTTTGGAAAGGTTTTTTTTTTTTTTCTTTTGCATTTGCACCTGGAACAATGGCGCAATCTTAAGTTTTTCATGGAAAAGAAAGACTGAACGCCTGTGTCTCAGCGGAACAATAACCATGACATAAGTGATTATTTGTGGTGGCCCTCAGATATATAAAGCGGAGGACAGGCCTACCACATGATTAACTTCATAACTACTTGTTTATTCTGCTTAATTCTCATTCCAAACAGACTTAAAGCTTTTTAATTCACCAACATAGATTGATAATATTTTTGAAGCACAGTGGCTCCTTAAATTTGGATTATTACATCGCTGCTGTACTGTGGGAATTTAAACTCAAACATTTAGATAAACACTTTGATGTTACTGTACAAATTGCCCTTCTCACAACATTAACTAGCTAAATTCCCTCGGTGTGCTAGGATGCCAACATGAGGAACAAAACAAACCGAGCCTCAGCAGTTTCCTCGGCTAATGCCGTTTGGTGTCCGGTAAAATGCTGATGAAAATTAAATTCTTCTCCCCTTTCTGCCCAGGGTGTAACCCCCCGTCTCCCTGCTGTGAAGGTCACGAGCTTGTTCATTTTTAGTGTGGTTGATAGGGATGAATGAGCCTACCTGAGTTAGGTCCAGATTCTGCAGGGGTCCTGCTCCTTTGGCCACCTGCCGTCACTGTTGCGAGATTGATGGCCGTGGCTCCTGAAGTGTGTTTGAGGAAGCAGCTCTTGATCTTGCCCAGCTCTCTGCTGGTCTGTCCCACTGACAGGCTGGGCCTCAGCAGTGCTCCTAATTGAACGGTTAAGACTCACTGGGCCATGTGATACATCAATGTTGATACAGACAGGCCCAGAGACTCGCTCCCCTTCTCCCTGTACTGCTGTCTGGGGGCGCTAATGAAAATCTGTGGCCACTTTAGAGTACTGCCACTCACATCATTATTCATAGCCATGCTTTGGTCACTTCGCAAAATGAGCAATGTTTCTGATGACAAAGGATGCTGTAATTCAATCTTCTGTAAAACGGAGAATGTATAATGCAAGGACGCCACCAATTCAATTCAGAGGCAGGAGGAAGAAAGGGGTAGCCTTGAAAGGTTTTCTTTCCCATGAAGAACCTTCATTACTTTCCTGGTGAACAACAAAAGAGCGTCTCATCCAAGGCTCTGTGATTGCTTTAGGGAGGTTATTTGTTGGTTTCAAGTGTTTGCAGAGTGATTCAAACTGCATTTTTCTTTTGCATATCCTCGTGTCTATGGACTGTTGACGCTGAAATTCCCAAGTTAACATTTGTCATTTGCTCCTTTTCCTTCTGGCAAACATTTCTGAGCTGAAAGTGAAAAGCATTTGGTAACCATGCTGCCCTTCCATGTGAAATTTGTGAAGTTGTTTACCACTTGAGAGTCCTCCACACTCTGTAAGTGCTACTTGAAGGAAAGCAATGTATTATCAGGTGGTGCCCTAGGATCACAGCATGTTGCCCTGCATTTTGGCAACATTATTGAGAGACCATCTCACACAGAGAGACCATTTCCAGCCCACACTAGGAAGGCAGATAAGCAAACCTTAAACAACTACTCATCTGCAGTCTGAGCGGTATTTGAGGTCTTGGTGGAAATTTATTTTCCCCATATTTGTTTGTTTTGTGTTGAGGTATTCACAGACTTGTATTGAATCAGGTCAAGTTCCAGCAACACTACACATTTGAAACTATTTCTACATGTGTTATCCTAAACTAACAAATGTACTCTACTAATCAGTTTGCTTAAATTGCTGAATAAGGCTCGTGCTCTTTTTGATTAGGCCGACTTCTTGGCAAATTCTTAATTTTTTAAATGTGTGCTTTTTTAAAATTTTCAGATATTTTAGTCATTTTTTAATGTATTTTTTTAATACAGAATTGTGCAAAAGTCTTATTTCTTTGTGTTTTACTAGGAAAAGGAGAGATAAGTGCTATGACTTACTGAAATGGCAAATATGTCTCAAGATGACCCCACAAATAAATGCTTTTTTTTTTTCTCTGTATCTATGAAGCGCCTTGAGGCGACTTATGTTGTGATTTGGCGCTATATAAATAAAATTGAATTGAATTGAATACTATAATGTTGAGGTCTGGATTCTGTTTCAGTGTGTGCTTTTTAGGGAAACTCTCGGTGACTACGTTCTGAGATGACTAATTGAAGAAAAAAAATTAGACTAATCCACTAGTCTTAAACTAAAAACACTCAGTAAGTAAAATTTGAGGACCATTTAATGGAAAATGTCAAAAACTAGTGACAAAAGCATCATAAATGAATCATGCTGCTTAAATCAACACCGTGCATTATGAACACGTTTTACTCCAAGCAATGAAGATGAAGAACATGAAAAATCTCATTCTAACAGTGTTATCAAAAAGATGAGGCCTAGATGAGCAGAGTTATGTTTCTCTACAACAGGCAGATGGCTGCATAATGTTTAGAACACAATAATTTACCGGCATTGGGCATCAATTAAAATGTAAAATAGATTAACCAACTAGTAAGTCTGTTACTGACTAGTGACAACAGCGACGATTAGTCTGCTAATGTACTAGTCACTCACATCCCCAGTGCTTTTCTATGCAGGTGTGCTTTTGTGCTTTTACTGCATTGGCAGTGTATTTTGATTCATTGTCATGCTGAAAATGAAGCCACTGTTAATTTAATGCTTTGTAAGTATGGTGGATCTAAATCTGATGGTACTTTTCTCCATTAGTAATCTTCCATTCATTTTAATTTCCATTTTTATTGGCTGTAATGCAGTCCCCAAACCGTGCCAGAGTGTCTACCGTGTTTTACAATGTATACACTCACTGCTGTATCTCTGTCCTGAGTTTCTCCATACATATTCATGATGATTTGAACCAATATTTTTATCACGCCATAGGATCTGTAGCCACCAATTCGCAGTCAAGTCCTTATGTGATGTGGCATATCTCAGCCCTTGGTGAACATCAGATTAAGCGAAAGGTCCTGTGTCAGGATTTCACTGAAATGATTTTCCCCAGTTTCTTTAGGGACCTAACTTTCTGATATTGTTCATCTACTTTAGATACTTCTGCTT